CGCTCCGGAGAGCAGCCGCTGCCGCTCGCGGGCGCCCCCGACGCCGGTCCGGGAGCGCGGGCGGCGCGGCAGGAGCTGGGCTGGTCCCCGCCGGGAACCCGCCCGCGCCGCGTCCCCGCCGGCGGGTGCGTGGAGCGGGCGTGCGCCTCCGCGGCCACAGGCACGGCAGCCGCCGGAACCGGCGTGGGCAGGCACCGAGCGCGTCCCGCGCAGGCACAGCCCCGGACACACCTCCCCACGTCCCGGCGGTGGTAGCGGCTGTGTAAAAAGTGTGTGAAGGAATAAATCAGAATTAATTCAGACAATTACCTCAATAATTAATTCTTCCTCAGTAAATGTCAACAGAACTGCAGTAAAATTGCATATTTTTTAACAGAACAGAGTGCAATCGCTGCTAGATTATTAGCAGTGACGTTTTGCTACTTGTTTGATAAGAAAGCATTTTTCCCAGCTTACAAAGAGCTCCAAACATATACTGCTGAAATGATGGTTGTCCTGCCCTCTTTGGTGCTGGATTGATATGTTTTCCTGGGCCAGCAGACTCAGACAGCCCAGAAAAATACACAAAAGTGTTTCTTGGTTTTCTTTTGTGGTCTTCCTTTTTTTTTTTTTTTGTAGTGAGGGACACTGTAGCTGAGATGCCAGACCTGCAAAGGTATTTGTAGTGAGTCAAACGTTCCCATACCATGTGAAACACACAGCACCAAGAGTGGAAGTTGTATACCTGTCATCATACCTGTTGTAGAATGTCATAGCATTTAGGAAAGAAGTTCCCAGCAGCTCTGTGCCAGGTGATGGAGGATTTGTTCTGAACCATTATTAAATTTCCCTCCTCTCCGCTATGTTTCCTTCTTCTGCCACAATCAGATGCCAGCCATTGGGATTGAATAATTTGGATTATGTGTCTGGCATTATGCCTCTGCTCTTCAGATATCTCCATTGTTTGGAGATATCTGGTACACTTGGTGTCTCTTTCCCTGGTCCTTGATGCTCATCCACACATAGCACAGTCTGCTGTCCTTTGGGATGCCCGATCTGCTTGCCAGACCTTCTGCTAGGGTTGCTCAGATCTCTGGTTCAGCAGAAGACTAATCAACTTCTTGGGTTGGTTACTGGGTTGACTGTAGTGATTCCTGTCGAGGTTTTTCAGACTCTTAGGTGTAGCGCGAAGTAAGTAGCGGGAAAGTGGAGCCAGGGAAGTACAGTAGCCAGAGGAAAGTAAACACATGATTTATATCAACAGCGCTATCAGATCAGTTTATGCAGTAGAACTGTAGTACCACTGAAAAATAACTGAGTATTTTAACAGTGCATTTTGTCTAACATGAAATAATTGAGAGTGCTGTCTTTAAGATACAAATTTAAACTAATTTTTGGAATAGATCTTATAATTTCTTGAAATGTTATTATCTTCCTGTCTTTCAGGCTGAAGGTGGCCCAGTCTGAGGGCTAATCTGTCAAATATTTAATAATCATTTGCTCTGAAAATTTCCCACGTTGTTCATGGTAAGGCTTATATTTGATATTTCATATTTAGTTTGTTGTGCTGACACAGAGTATTTCTTACACATTTTTAGTATTAACATTTTCTTTAGCTGCAAGAATTACTTAAGAGTTGGATCATACATTTACTGAGAATTGCAGTTTCACAGAGAATGTTTCCAGTTTTGTGTAACTGAGTCAATAAATGAAACTGAGTAATTGTAAAGTGAAAAGGAAGGAAAATGTATTCACAATTTTAAAATAAGTTTCAGAGTAATGCTTGTATAATCTAAAAGCTTTTCCTAATCATATTAAGAAAAAAATGATTTGACAATTTTTTTAGTATGTAAATAGTTTTGTCTGTTGGGATTTTATGACTCAGACTGCTTTATAAAAATTACAAAACTTTCTCTTGTTATTTTACAGGAGTTTTTCATCAGTATGTCTGAAACCATTAAATATAATGACGACGATCACAAAACTGTGTTCCTGAAAACATTGAATGAACAACGTTTGGAAGGAGAATTTTGTGACATAGCTATTGTGGTTGAAGATGTTAAGTTCAGAGCCCATAGGTGTGTGCTTGCTGCCTGCAGTACCTACTTCAAAAAACTTTTCAAAAAACTGGAAGTTGATAGTTCATCAGTAATAGAAATAGATTTTCTTCGTTCTGATATTTTTGAGGAAGTTCTCAATTACATGTATACTGCAAAGATATCTGTTAAGAAAGAGGATGTAAATTTGATGATGTCTTCAGGCCAGATCCTTGGTATTCGATTTCTTGATAAACTCTGCTCTCAAAAACGTGATGTTTCTAGTCCTGAAGACAACACACAGTCCAAGAGCAAGTACTGTCTAAAAATAAACCGTCCTATGGGAGAACCCAATGATACACAAGATGATGAGGTGGAAGAAATTGGAGATCATGATGATAGTCCATCAGATGTGACAGTGGAAGGAACTCCCCCAAGTCAGGAAGATGGAAAGTCACCAACAACTACCCTAAGAGTGCAAGAGGCAATTCTGAAAGAGTTGGGAAGTGAAGAAGTTCGAAAAGTAAACTGCTATGGCCAAGAAGTAGAGCCTATGGAAACGACTGAATCTAAAGACTTAGGATCTCAGACCCCTCAGGCTTTGACATTTAACGATGGCATAAGTGAAGTGAAAGATGAACAGACACCTGGCTGGACCACGGCAGCCGGGGATATGAAGTTTGAGTACTTACTTTATGGTCACAGGGAACATATTGTATGTCAGGCTTGTGGCAAGACCTTTTCTGACGAAGCGCGATTGAGAAAACATGAAAAGTTACACACTGCTGATAGACCGTTTGTTTGTGAAATGTGTACAAAGGGCTTTACCACGCAAGCTCATTTGAAAGAGCACTTGAAAATACACACAGGCTACAAGCCTTACAGTTGCGAGGTGTGTGGAAAGTCTTTTATTCGCGCACCAGATCTAAAAAAGCATGAAAGAGTTCACAGTAATGAGAGGCCATTTGCATGCCATATGTGTGATAAGGCTTTCAAGCACAAGTCCCATCTCAAGGACCATGAAAGAAGACACCGAGGAGAGAAACCTTTTGTCTGCAGTTCCTGCACTAAAGCATTTGCTAAGGCATCTGACCTAAAAAGGCATGAGAACAATATGCACAGTGAAAGAAAACAAGTTACTACAGCCAATTCCATCCAGAGTGAAACAGAACAGTTACAGGCAGCAGCCATGGCTGCGGAAGCAGAGCAGCAATTAGAAACTATAGCTTGTAGTTAAAAACTAAAGCAGAAACTATCAGAAATAATATAAGAAATGAAATTGAACAAAATCTATTGTTGGCATACGTTTAGACTGAGAATTTTTTCAAGAAATCATATTTTTAGAGAATTGAATGTTACATAGGAATGCATAGCATCACTTGGTTAGGTATTTTAAAACATTTCAGAGATGAGTATTCTTAGAATGTGAAGCAATTTTGTTGCCATTAGCAGTATAATGCACTAATACCTGCTTTAATTTGAGAATGTGATCAAGTTCTCTATAAAAAAGAGATAATTGCTGGCTGATACTTATTTCATTCAGTATGGAATACTGCATACAACATAAACATTGCAATCAGTGAGAATCGGTAAGTTTGAAAATGCTGAAATCTCAAAAATCACAAACATGGAAAGGAAATACTTGGTTTTCATAATTCTGAAGGTGTTATAATTTTTTGAGAAGCAGACATTGATTCCCTAAGCTTTTTAATTCCTCCTTTTTTCACTTAATATAGGTAGGTGCAGTAGAGTGTAAGGGGGGTGGTGATCAGAATGAAATTGCTTCTTATTCCATTCCCCCAGATACCCTCTTATTTTAATCAAGGTGGCAAGTTTAATGAAATACTTGATTTCTTGAAAAAACTGCATTATTCTCAGTGATTCTGACTGGCAAAGCAGCAGTGTCATGGCATTCACCAATTCCTTCAGTGGGTAAAAAAGTCTGCCTCATTTGTTTTTGTGTTCACTCTTATATAGGGCCCTGGAGATGGGACTGGGCCACAAAGGAAAAAGGGTGCAGTGTGGATGAGACGTGCTCCTTACTCAAACCCAGTAGGAATCAGTTAAAGCTAATACAACCTGAGGCTGTGCTTTTTATTATGCAGCTTTCAGGTCACCTAACCTAGCACAGTGAAGGTAAAGAAGTGTTTCTGGGAGCACAGGAGGTTTAGCTGCACTGGTGAGTGACCTGTCACTGCCAGACTTCTGGAGCTGCAGAGCACAGCCACAGGCTATCACATACCTGCCCACAGTGTTCAGCTGGGGTTTGTCATGGCTTGTCGTACCAGCTCATACGTCCTGTTCCAGTTTAAAAGCTTCCACCTTCTGACTCCCCACCTCTCAGCAATAGAGACCCTTCAGTGAGTGAATTCAGTTGTAATTGATCCAGAGTGAGTGTTCGCTATTAGTCGGTTGCTTAGTCTTGCCTATTTTTTTTTTAAGGTAAGCTGGGGTACATGCTGCTAATTTAATAGCTAACTCACAGAGTCAACAAAATAAGTTGTCTTTGGGTTGCAGTCTCCTGTGTGTAGTCAGCAAGAGAAAACACAATAACAGTGGTAATGCAATCCAAAGGGATATCGAGCCTTTATTTTAAATTTGTAAATACTACAACTGTTGTGAAAACTTCATTTGAAGTTGGAATGGGCAAAAACCCACACTCTTGGGCACATTGTAGTAACATTGGTCACTTGCGATACCTATAGCATATGGAAGTGTTAGATCAGTTTCTGGTAAGTTACTGTGTGGTACATCACATCTTGCTTTTCTAAAAAGAAATTTAGAAAGTGTTTTTGGAACTGTTATATGGAACTTCTATTGTTGGGGGTTTTTTTGTTTGGTTGAGGGTTTTTTTTTACAGCTTCATTTTATTCATGTACTCATCAGGTTAAACAGTTATCTTAAAATGCCAGTAATTGTTTGAATGCTGGTCTGTAAATAAAACATGAACTTAATATTTTAGAAAATGTAAACTTTTGACCTTTACCAATATATTTTTTTAAAATGTTGCTTCATTTTACATTCAGTAATATTAGTTTGTAAACAAACTGTACATTTTGTACCTGTGCAACATCAGAGGATGTGTATTCATTGCATTTTATTGGTTCTCTTGAGGAACATGATAAATGACCATTGTTAAAATGTTTTACTGTATATGATCATAGATATAAAGATAGTAGGTCCAAAATAGGATCTACATTTTTTTTCTAAATATATTAGTTGTGCTATGTTTTCTTATCTAAAATTGTGTTCACTTTTTCCTAGATTAAATGGGGGTTGATAAGAATGTACAAAACAGATCTGCTGTGATAAGAGTTCAAAAGTGTAAAATGTGAAAAAAGTAAATTTTCTCTAGATCTACTATGAAAAGTGCAAGAAGTAATGAGCTTAAATTACAGCAGTAAACATTTGCATTAAAAAAAATCTTTTAAAGGGTTTAATAATGAATTACTAGGACAAAATGCCTGGGGAAGCATTGCAATCTCCACTAGTAGTGACATTCAAAAATGGGTTAGAAAAACATATATTAGGAATGGTTTAAATATGGTTTATTCTGCTTTGAAGCTGAGGGATAAGTTGAATAACCTCTCAAGAACAGCTTCATTGGTTTGTTTTGGGGGGTTTTTTTTTGTTTTTTTGTTGGTTGGTTGGTTTTTTAGAAAGTAATAAATTAAAATGGATCTCATGGGACAGCAGACACTTGAGTAGAAAGACAGAGCTCAAGTCTTACAGGTAAAAGAATATTGCCCCCTGACTTTCGAGCACAATCAGTCAGGCTGTGAATTTGAAATTGTTATAGAAAAATAGACTTGCATTAAAAGACTCACTACCAAAAGTGTGATAACATTCCGTGTTACATCAGAGTAAATTCTGCTATTGCTAAAGCTTATGGCTGGAAAAGTTAACAGCTATAAGGACTGTGTGATGTTTGTAGCTTTTAAAAGCTGGGACAGATTGATATTATACATTATCTAATACAGAAGTGTGCAGAGGCATGAACAAATGTTATTGTCGCATGTTCCTTGGACAGGTATAAACACCTTATGTGAGACTTGGTCTTAACAGTCTGCGACAGGATCAAATTAAATGAAGTCACTTAAATTGCCTCCATATCAAAGGTTTTGAAAGGGGCCTCGGCCTCCTGCTAATTTTTAGGTGTTTAAGTGTCAGAAGTCTGCTTAGCTGACAACACTGGTTAAGAAGGCAAAGGCTCAGTTATATTTCTGAAGTTGATTGAGAATTTTATTGGCAATTCCTACTACCACTGTCTGTTTTAAGGATGTGAAATTACCTTCTTTTTTCTTTTTTTGAAAGCCAATGGATAATTGTTTTTCTCCCCAGTTGTTTTTACTCAAGGCAGAGAGAAGGCCTAGAATACTTAAGTTTAAAGTTTTGGAAAAGGTTTCAGAAAGAAGGTGTGGATGTAACCTTAGCTGTATATAGATTATTGTTTATGTGTTCTAAATTAACGTGTTTGTTGTGTATGTTCTGAAGGGAGGTTCGCTTATATATTGTGGGGATCTGTCTGTGAAGTTCAGGTAAATCTGTCTTCATCTTAAGACACTACTGCTTCTGTCTCTCTCATCTGTGCCAGAAGACATCATGTATAAAAGCAGGTGTGCGTCAGCTCCGAGCCACCAAGGTTTTCCAGCCTGATAAACAGTAAGCTGTAAACCATGTTCATTGAGTAATGGGCAAATTTTTATTTTTGCTTTTACAAGGATGGCATGGCAGCTTCTTTCAGAGTTTATGAGACAGTGGATGAGATTCTCTCTGACTAAAGGGAATTTTGCTGTTGACTGTATTGGGGCCAGACTAGTCTAACATTCCTTAAAAGTTTTCGAACAGCAGGCGAGTTAGCTAATTGGTGTGCATGCAGGAATGACAGAATGCTGTAGAAAATAGATGGCTAAAATAACGTTGAATATGGATTGTTTTTTTCTCCGGACTAAGTAGCAAAAATATTACATATAGAATTAGTCTTGAATGTACACTTGTCAATCTGTGGTTTATGAGATCAGAGTCAGTTATGTCTTTAATATACATAGGATAGCAAACACTTGGTTACTCTCTTTGGCTGACACTGAACCTCCCTCCATCTTATGATGTTGCGTGACCATGTGGCTTCAATGGAACCCTCTGTGTATGAGAATTAAATATATGAATAGGTGTTGTGTAAGCAGGGCTTACATGTATACAATGCTAGTTGATGTGAAATGAGCTGCTTTTGGTGGTTGTCTTGTGTAAGGTCAGCACCGAATGAGACACTAAACCACAGTCGTCTCAGCTGCAAAAAGATCTAAATATAAGGAAGTATAACATTTTAATTAAAAGGCTTTGCACTTTAAAAGACTGACTTAGAGTGAAAAGAAATATTTGAAACAAGAACTTTACTATTCTGTGATTTTAACTGGGTGTTCTTAAAATAGCTTGGTTTTTTGTTTGGGTTTTGTTTTGTTGTTTTTTTTTTTAAGAGAAAAAGGAACAAAAGTAACACATTTTGTCCTCTGGTATCTGCTTAATTTCTGATCCTAGTTGTGTTAGCCATGGGTATGCTGGTACAACTCAGTTTGGAAACTAAATGTTCAGGAAGAATACCTTTCAGCCCTTCTCCACTCCGCACCCCTTCTTTTACACAGTGTTCACTTATCATTAGTTAAAAAAATAATAGAAAATGAAGCAACTCACAGTTGAGTGAGTACTTCTGGTTTTGTTTTTCTGCTTAATTCTTTTAGAAAGATTTAGACTTGGAGATTAGAGTATTAGAGGTCAGTTTGTGAAAGGAATGTCTCACACTCACTTCAGTGGCAAACGTGCGAGGGGATCAGTTTCTGTTTGTTCATATATAAGCTACAAAATACTAAATACTTTGCGAAGTCTTTCCAAACGAGTCTTTCCCAAACGAGTTCTTTTGAAGATCAGGCCCCAGTTTTCTAATGCAGAGATAACTTTCGTTATTCCATTAAGTAAGAATACTTAAAATTAGTAGAGTCTGGGTGAGATACAGATATATCTGATTATATCAGAAAGTCTACCCTAAGGTAGACTGTCCCTATTTTTAGGGACAGATTATCTTTATTAAGTATTTTATAAATTCAGACACCTCTAGGCTTACAGAAAGGACAAAGCATTTATGAGGGAGAGTACATCTGCTTACAACAGATGACTTTTCTGAATGTAAACATTTGCAGACTGATACAGAACAGAATAATTCTACCTGGAAGGTAAAGACAGATCTAAGGAATTTTCATCTTTTTCAAACAGTTAGTCTTTAGATCACAGCAGTATGCCCAGTCAGCCAGAAACTTGCACATTTCATTAAAAATTCCATTACTGCAGTTGGTCTGTCATTTGTCTTCATATAGATCTAAAACAATTATAATAACATTCTCACTCATTTCAGAACAGATGGAGAATTTCCATGAATAGATTTGTTAAATATGTGTCATAAGAGTTGAAACACCTATTCTCAGGAATGATTTTTAAATGTAATACAAGAAGCCTGAAATAGCCCAAAATAGTAAATTTTGAATTAAGAACTAAGACAAATAGATATAATGCATTGGATATAGATCATCTTTATGAAATTAAAACATGAGAGCTATTTTCTACTTTTTCCACCAAAACATGAGAATTTTTCTTCTGTTTAGAAAAATGTCTTTTCTGATGCAAACCCTTGTGTTGAAAACAATAACCAAAACCACCCAAGTCCTACTGTGCCTACACTGGTAGTTTTCTGACTTCTTCCCAATGGCCTATTTATACATTTAAGTAATCTGCATATGCTAACGACTTAGAGTATTTTTGGCTTTTAAAATATTCTAAAGACCAAGCTTCCCTGCATCTAAGTTTTCATTCTTCAGTAATAAAGATACTTTTTTTTCAGGGTCCGGGGTACTACAAACAGTGCTTACAGGAACAAAGCATTGTAGTGGCACTGCAGATTGCTCAAACAGGAGGATGGGGTACACTAGAGCTCCACCGTGAGATCAAAACCTCACTTCTTTCTTCTATAGAATTTGGAAATGGTACTGACACAAGATTGTATGTACTTCCAGGCGAGAGTTTCTCTTCAAGGGAGGTTATCAGTTATCTGCAGGTGATTTCTGTCTGTTTTGTACTCATCAGCAGCATAATTAGGGTTTACAGAGAACAGTTTTCAGGACGCTGTCTTTCAAAATGTTAGTTAGTTCTAATTTTGCATACTGTCAGACCTTGTTCACATGTTCCTGTTGTGTTTAAGGTTGCATGGGCAAAGTAAGGGAAAAGTTGGGGTAAAAGCAAGAAAGTAGTGTGAAAATGTTCTAAACACTGCATTTATTAAACTTTATTACAAATTGAATGCAATTTTGTATTTAATACGTTTAGGATGCATTATATAAAGAATATGTTTTCAATGCTTAAGAAGTCACTAGTCTCAGATCATAATTTTTTTATTTGTTTCCGTTACTTTAATCTCCAGCATTTAGAATCAGTGTATAGCTTTAGTTTCTCTGGCTATGAAAGCCATGAAGTGTCATGTAACTCTGATGCTCAATATATCAAATTATACTGACTGTCTATATCTTACCACATTTAGAACTTTTTTTCTTTACACCTGGACATCCATCTTTTTTCTACTTTAGATAAGCCCATTAGCATTCTCCCATTTCCTGTTACAAAATAACTGAAGTTTTCGTGAGATTTGCTTAGGCCACTAAGGAATGTTTTCTCAGATGGCAGTAGAATTTGATCCGATTGCTTTGCAAAGATGTAAAATGAATAGAGTGGCTTCTTATGTATGGAAGAATAGTTTACAATGTTTTTTTAAATTTAAGCATTGTTTTTATTTGTTTCTCTTCTGCTATAAAGCTTGCTGTTTGAGAGTACAGTCTTCTAAAGGCACAGCAAAGTATACTTGGTATGGAAAAGCTTAATTGTGCTGAAAGGGTGAGTCTTGTTCCTTCTTGATTCCTTTCCTGCTCAGAAGGGTGTCTGGTGAACTTCTCTGTTGGTGCAAGGTAAGTGATCAAAGTATTCAGGTAACAGCAGGGATAATGGTAAACAGGGAAGAGGAAGGAACAGGATCTTCTCATTTAAACTGGTGTAAGGAGTGACAGCTCACCCCCTAAAGGTTTATCTTGTCATGACAAATCTCATTGCTAAGTTATGTTCTTTTGTCCCTGTTGAATTCTTTATTTTTGAGTGCTTGTCGGGGTAAAGAGGTTCAAGGGAAGCTCAAAACAATTCCACCTGTTTCTTCAGGTAGAATTTACCACGCATAAAATTGTGGTAGATCTAATATTCTGGTTGCTCATTAATATGCGGGATAGTATGTACTATTTTATAACAAAGTAATAGCTATTGACTTTGATCCAAAGATCCTGCTCTATGGTGAACTTGCCACTGGCTGCCGCAAGAGAGGAGCCCCGAAGAAAAGATAC